TGCAGGTAGGTACCTCTGGCCTCCGCCCAAGCTCTCTCTCTCTCTCTAGTACTACCTAGCTATGGCGCCCAGCGCTGGAGACTATAGCTACCTACTGCGCCCAGCGCTGAAGACTACAAGCTAACGCTACTACTCTACASTGCAGCGCTCCCTCCAGAGTGCTGCTCCCGAATCCTGAAGACTACAACTGCCAACTGCCTACCTCGGAAGTGCCTGGGAAGTCCTATGTACTACCTCGGCCTGCCTCCTGACTACAAGAGGCCAGTCAGGCCGAAAAGGCAGCTCTTGCCAATGCCAAAGTGTGCCAGGGGCTGGTGTGCAGCAGCCTGCTTGAGGCTGGTGTGGGAAACAGACTATTAATAGTCAGTTCCCGAAACCCTGGTTCGGTGCTTGAGTTTCAGGGCCAGTCGTTCTGATGAACGACCGAAAATGGCCCTTCGTTTCAGGCTAAAAATGTTGTTGCCATTTTTAGTCTGAAACAACACAGGGACAGGCCCTGGAATTCAGGCTTTCGGCCTAAACCGACAGGGGGCCTGTAAGCCCTGGATTTCAGGCTTTCGGCCTGAAGTTCAGGATTTTGGCGTGAAGGACGCAAGCCTGCAAAATGGCATGCATGTGCATGCGCAGCATGTAACACCCCCCCCTCCTTGAAGTCAAGCCGGGGCGAGGGCGAAGCCGTCAATCTGAAGGTGGAACCTGGACGCGGGCGCGGCGTGGAGCCGAAGGAACCGGCTTGCCTTGCATCTTGTGTTCGTAGCGTGCGAGAACATCTGGAGCTGTTGCTTGAAGTTCCGCACGGGTTAACCATCGGTCAGCTCAGTGTGTGCAGTATGCAAAATGCACCAAATACTCAGTTGGCTTGTTGCCATAGCGTCGCTGGGAGATGATGTCGCCGACCTCCTGAAAACCATCCATAGAAGGCGGGTCTTGCGTACGTCTCCCGGGAAAATCGTCATGGTCCGCTGGCCTGTAGAGAGCCAATTTGGAGCAATGAAAGACTGGGTAGACGGGCAAGTGGCTAGGCACGTGAATCGTGAAGGAGGGTCCTTCGGGTGCGTCCCCAGCAGGCTCTATGATCGGCCAAGGCCCCATTCATTTCGGAAGAAGCTTGCGAGAGACGTCTTGTTCAAGGCTGAATTCCGCTGCGGAAGCCCAGACGAGGTCCCCGACGCGGAATGGACAAGGAAGACACTGGCGATTGGCCTGGTGGCTCATGCGCTGATGCGTCTTTGCCATCTGGTCGCGTGCCTTGAAGAGAAGCTCTTGCATCCGACGCAAGAAAAGAAGATGGTCGTCGCTCTTGGCCGTGTGTGGAGTAATAGTGTCCAACGGTGATGTGACCAGCGAGCCATGCTTGAACTCGAAGGGCGATATCCCAATAGCCTGGTGGATGGAAGAGTTGCAGGCCAACTCGACATCCGACAGTCGCTCAACCCAGTCTTTCTGGTCGGGGCGGATGAGAGTGCGAAGGAGAACCTGTGCGGTCTGATGCGCCCTCTCCGTCTGGCCATCGGTCTGAGGGTGGCGAGCTGAATTGGGTTTGAGAGATGAGCCCCATCGCTTGATGAGCGCCAACCAAAAATCGGACATGAACCAAGTGTCCCGGTCGCAGACGATCTCCTTGGGGTAACCCTTGGTGCGAATCCAACCGGCGTAAAGAACCTCGGCCAACTCCGGTGCCTTGGCATGATAGCGACAAGGCAAAAACATGGCGAACTTGTTGAGTCGGTCGACCACCGTGAGAATCCCATCCACTCCGGTCTTGTGCTTGGGGAGAGGGCGGGTAATGTCCATGGCAATCGCTTCCCTTCGTCGCAACAGGACTGGCAATGGTCGTAACTCGCCGTACGGACGATGGTTGCGGGATTTGTAGCGTCGGCAAACCTTGCATGACTCGCAATAGCGCGTGACGTCGCCGAGAAGGCGTGGCCACCAAAATCGCTGGCGAAGTCGGCCAATCGTGCAATTGACTCCAAAATGTCCAGTGGCGGGAGCGTCGTGGAACTCGCCAAGAAACCGTGAACGCAAGTGAGGGTCACTCAGTACGCAAAGAAGGTCCTTCCCCCGCGTGTGGACAAGCAAGTACCCCTCTTGGATCCGGTAGTGAGAAGGAGTCGGATTAGGAGAGGAGCAATTCGCGTACTTGTCGCGAAACTCGGGGTCGGCTTGGTAGCCGCGGATGAAGCTGCTCCGCAGATCGTCGTCAATCTCGAAGGTCGAGTAGACTGCGGTACAATGATCCGGACGCCGTGAGAGAGCATCCGCAAAACGGTTTGACTTCCCGGGAATGTGATCGGGGAAAAAGTCAAACTCGTCGATGAAAGTCATCCATCGAGCGATGGTGCTGTTGATGGTGTCTTGGGTCTTGTAGAAGACCAACGGATTGTTGCCCGTTACCCATCGAAACTGGCTTCAACCAAGGAGGAAGTGCCGCCACCGCTTGAGCGCGTGGACGAAGGCGAGGAACTCCTTCTTGCGTGCATCGTCAATGGAATGCACAAGAGGCACTTTCTTGCTGAAGTATTCGACCGGGTGCCAGTCCACACCGTCATGGCGCTCGAGGATTGCACCAATGCGGGTCGTATATCCGCAAGACCTCCACAGACAATAGCGCGGCTTTGAGAGCGAAGAATGATCCTCGCGCCTCCTCTCCGAAGTCAAACGACCGATCCTCGCACTGAAGTTTGTTCAAGTGGGCCGCGATCTTGGAGTAGCCTTTGATGAAGCGCTGATAGTAGCCGGTAAGACCAAGGAACGAGCTGACATCCGTGACGTTTCGAGGCTCCAGCCACTCTTGGACGGCCTGAACCTTGTTCGATAGCGGACTGATGCCCTCCGGTGTGACAAAATGGCCGAAGTATTCCAGCTCTTGCCGGAGAAATTCACACTCGTCACGATTAGCCTTGTACTTGGCGCGGCGGAGCGTCTCCAACACTTGTCGAAGATGCCCCACATGATCCTCCAATGACCGGCTATAGACGAGAATATCGTCTAAGTAGACCAACACGAACCGGTCCAACATTGCACGAAACTCATTGGTCATCGCCGCCTGAAAGGTCGTCGGGGCGTTGGCAAGGTCAAAAGGCATGACCACCCACTCAAAATCCTGTACCGCGTCTTGATCGCGGTCTTGTAGCGATCGTTCGACTGGATCGAGATTTGATGATATCCTGATTTCAAATCCAACTTGGAAAAATACTTCGCGCCGCCCAGCCGCTCGAGAAGATCGTTGATGCGAGGAAGAGGCCCCTCATTCTTGACGGTTTGCGCGTTGAGCTTGCGGTAGTCGATACACAATCGTAGATCCTTGTTCTTTTTCCTGACGAAGAGAACTGGTGCTCAATATGGGGAGCTACTCGGGCGGATCCAGCCCTTGGCCAACAAATCATCGAATTGTGCGCGGAGGACCTCAAGCTCCTCCTCGCTCATCCGATAGATGCAACCTTTTGGCGGCACGACACCGGCCTCAATAATGATCTCGTGAGAGATCGGCCAACCGGGCACCACACTGGTAGGTGACTCGAAGATGTCGGCGAACTCGTCCAGCAACCGTACCACACGGGGGTCCGAAGATAAGTCTGTGGGTGAAGAGTCGGCTATCGCGACGGTCCGTAGGAAACATAGGTCGATCTCCTCGGGCTGCTCGTAAGCGCAAGTTGCCCGGAATGATTTGGCCGTCACCACTTGGCACCAGATCGAAAAGTGCGGTAGAGGAATAGTGCACGCCACTTCCGCGCCGAAGGCGTCGCGAACGCTAAGAGTCCGCCGATGGAAGTTGACCGTGTGATCCGCACTTGCAAGCCAAGGCATTCCTAGAATGATGTCGAAGTCCGTGTCGAGAATATCGAATGTCACCAGTTCGCATGCATGAGGTGCGAAGTAGACCGGTATGGCCTCGATGTAACGGTCGAGAAGTTGTTGCGTCTTTCCATCTGCCAACTTGATCGCCGTCGGGTTTGCCTTCCTCCGAACTTGTGTGTCGAGGTCAACCCTTTGCATAAAAGACAGGCTCATGAAGTTGCGAGATGCGCCGCTATCCAACAAAGCGTTGCAGGACGCTTGCCCAACCTGAATGCGGACATACATGAGCGGTGCGTTATTGTCATCGTACCGCTGCGTGCGAAACTCGCGGGCCACCTTGGTAGTATACGCCAGGATGTCCCCCACCGCGACTTCGTCATCCGTCGGCGAAGTTGGTGGTGCATAGAAGGATAGGTAAGTGTGAAGATTAGCGCTAAGTGTTGCGCATTGCGGTCCCGGCAAACCGCCTGTGATCGGGAGAGGAAGCCATGCAAAGTCCTCAGACGTGAGCAGGTCCAATGCCTCTACATTGAACTCGCGCGCCGAAGCCCGTGACGAACCACTTGAAGACGATCTGTCGTTGTTGCCGGACGGAGAAGAAACCGCACACAATCCTTGTCCTTGAGCTTACCCAGCGTTGGAACGAGTCGGGCAGCATAGTCCTCAAAAGAAAGTAGAAACGAAGGACTGTCGACTTCCGCCTGCGCCTCGGAATGAAGGCTGGTTACTCGCGAAAAAAACAGTTTCGAAGGCATCGAGAGTGTCGTCGCGTCACTCTCGGCGGTGCTCAGTTTCCCTGTCTGCCCTTGCCTTTCAATGGGCAACCCTGCGTCTGATGAAGATCGTTGTTGCACCAAAGGCAATAGTGGAATCTCTCGCGCGCCTTGTATGCGGTCTCGGAGATGCCATACGGGGTCCATGGGCTTGTCTGAGCTGCTGCACCGGGCCCGGGGCACGAAACGGTGTGTGTCTTCGTCTTGCCGCGTCCTCGACCTCTGCCGGGGTGACCACCTTCCCGGGCGGCTGCGAATCTGTCCCCTTCACAGGCAGACACAACCTCGCTGGTTTTGGTCTAACGGCGATGCCGCTGTGACCACGGCCACTCTTGGCCGATGCTGGTCCCTGCTCGGGCCTGACGTAGATGAACGGAGGTTCTTGGCCTCCTTGTTCGTGATAATGATCTGCGCAGCCTTGTCAAACAACTCCACCATCGTCGTCAAGGTGTCCTCGACATGAGTCAGGGCATTGCTTAATGCCGGACATGACCTTGAGATGAAGTAATGGCGGATGGCCTTGAAACCCATTTGGATGTCTGGGACTGACGTCAAGCGTTGGTACTCAGCGATCCAGTCCGTACTCAGGAGCGTGCCTTGCTCGAAGACCATGAGTTTGTCCATGGCTTTGATCTCTGGCGGCTCCACCTGGAACCGCTTGTGCCACGCCGCCTTCAGATCATCCCAATTGATCTTGGTGTGCAAGTCGACCGCTACCACTCCATACTTGGACAGGAGGTTATCCAACCAAGCCTGGCACGCGTCCCCTTAGCGAGAGTACAAGTAGGCGTGATGCTTGTGTTCCTTGACGTTGGACAGCTGCAGCGTGAGCTCGAACTTGCGGAACCATGGAATCGGATCTGTCTTCATGGAGTCGCAGAAGATCTCCTGCCCGTCAAACTTTGGAGTTGACTCGCGCGGCTCCGTACTCGAGGTAGTGGCGGTGGTATAGACCCGCTGCTGCAAGTGTTGCGTCGCGGTGAGCTGTAACTGTGCGCCATCCTGGAGTGAGCCAACGTGCAGCTCCAATGCATTAAGGCGTTCGATAGTATTGGAAGAGCCTGCGTCGGCGGCGGCGACTGGTCGCTGCCCCAACCGCTGAAAACGGTCTTGGAGGTGAGCTAGCGATCTGTCGAGACCAAGGATCTCTGCCTGATGTGTAATGCAGGTTGCCAGGAGATCCGTGAGATGCGAGAGGAGGAGCGCTATCTTGTTTGCGCTATCCTCCAACTGGTTATTCTCGACCTCGGTTCGCCATTCTGCTGCCATGGTAAGTAATGCACGCTCTTAGGTAAATATCTTCTCACGACGTTGTGTTCATTCTTCATCGGCAGCCCTTGCTGCTGCCTCGTCATGCTGGCGCTGTTGTTCAAGTGCCAGCAGACGTGCCTGTTCGGCATCTTCTGCCCCCTTCTTCGCTGCTGCTGCCGCGTCATCTGCCTGTTTCTTAGTCTCGGTACTCCAGGCCAGCATGCGGGCCTGATAGGCCTCATCCGCTTCTCCGGGCCTCTGGTCCATGACTGTTGTTTGAGATCTCAACAGCATAGACTGGCCGGGGCCTGTTTGGTATCCTTTGCTGCTGACGTGGCACGGCTGACGTGTCCTGCTGACGTACTGACGTAGCCTGCTGACGTGGCCTGCTGACGTACTGACGTAGTCTGCTGACGTGGCCTGCTGACGTGGCAACTCACCACTGCCGCAGCAGGGGGTACCCGGATACAAACAGAATCGGAAAGGCGAGAGATGGCAACAACATAGGTGGGAAGGGGTGGGTGGGATAATTGCCCTACTCACACTTAGATAAGGAGCCACTAATCAAAGTAGAAAAGTTTGAACTTTGCAAAAAAAAAATTCGAGAAACATAAAAATAAAAAATAAAAATGTCGATTTTTGCAAGTTCGGTAGGTCTCCCAATCTCCCCTGAAGTACGAAATGATCACTGAAAGCGAAAAATTTTTTCGACTTTAGACTGCAAATGATTTATCAAACTGAATGACAGAATCCTACAACTGCGAAAAAAATTCCGAACAGAAATGACACGTATTCGGATTTATTCCGATTCGCAGTTTGAAAAATAATAACGAAGGAGGTATTTGTCGTACCTTTTTCAGAAAAACGAATTTCAGAGAAGAAATTATTCCGAATTTCTAAGTAATGGCAGATGCAACAGGAAATCGAAACTTTCGAAAAGAAAAATATTCCGGATTTTCAACAGCGAAATTTCGGATTTTCAGAAAGAAAAACGAAAATAGGAATTTCAGATGTTGCGATATAGCGATTTTCCACAGCAGAATAGCGAGAAAATAAAATCCGAGAAAAGAAAAAAAATTTGATTTTCGGTGGTAAGGTCAAGATCGTGATTTTCGGGTCTAACTAGTACGTCCTTATCAAACAGAAAAGACTAACTAGCTTTTTAGTCCCCGCACACGTGTCAGATGAGGTTGTCCTGATTCACGTGCAAAGCTCCCATACCAACTGTTACATGCAGAGATATGCAATGTATGTAATAACCGAGGAACTGCAATATGATAAAAAAGGACTGAATGGACAATACAGTGCGAGTAGAATCTCGACAGACAATGTGCATTCTCATACATACAAAAGGTGCTGAATAGCGCAGGGAAGACTTTGAT